GTAATTTTTAGTTTCATTAAAAAGTATTCGATATTTAAAAAGCTTCAAATTGTCTTTTTACTAACAATTTGTATGCATCAATATAGCTAACAAGGATCAAAACTTGTGTTTTTATACAAAAAAAAATTAAATTCGTTGATAAATGACAAAAATGTCGTTAGGGTCAAACACCACACACGACGATTGGAGGGTTAGCTTGTGGTCCAAGTTATAAACTATTGAATTTTGTGATAACAATCTTATTAATATTATAAATGCGAATGTTTAGATGTATGTTAGAAGATATCTCTAGAACAAAATAAATTCTAATAAGTTACTTATTTACATTCTTATTTCTATGAATACATAAAGTCTTAAATCTATGATATAAAATAAAATAAAAAAAAAACCGAATAATTAACTAAAATATGTTAATAAAAGGAGTCCCTTTAGGCAAGGTCCCGAAGATACTGGCAGCGTTCCCCCTCTGTACAGCTAAACTAATTCTTTGACCGAGGTAGCTGCCAGCTCTTCGGTCCCCTGTGATGTCGATTAATTTTTCTCTAGAACTAAATATGTAATTTGACTTCGATGTAGAACATAGTCTGGTAGAACAGATAGGCTGTTAATTAAGTTTTAACAATCCTTGCCGACGGAGTCGCATTACAGCCTTATGTAGTTAAACTGTAAAGTGAATTTATACAGTTTTCGGTTCAAATTTTTCCAATTGACTATTATGAGATCCAGCTGTATTGGAGATGTCTTCTAACATCTAAACATTCGCATTTATATTAGTAAGATTTTTATTTAAATTTTGTATCCGCTAGCTTCTATGACTTGGTTATATAAAACGTTTAACTTTAATATTTCTACCTCCTTGTTTCGTGTCTTCGTGTAAATCCATCTTTTACTAGCATTGGATACGGACAAATTATATCATGTTATTGTAGAGTTGACTACCGCGTCATTTTTTTTATCGTTGATCTTAGTTTAGTATTTTGGTATTCATAAAATGTTAACTATTAAAGACGACGGAAAATGTAAGGATGGAAAGAGCGTTTGGATTAAGATGACTTTTGGAATATTATGTTATATAATAAAAAAGATAAGATGAAAATATTAAATAGAATTATTAGAAATAAAGAGAAAAGCACGCACTGTTACAAGAATATATTTACAACTGATGGTTTTAAAAATAAAGGAAAAGGAAGAAAAAACATATAAAGTTCTAAATTCAAAAATATAACAATTATGAATAAAAACATATAAAAAGTTCCGTATCTGTCAACAACAACTATGTTACTATTAATAATTTTCCTAACGTATTTTGATCTTCTACTAGACTTTTAGAGAGTTTAAAAATTTATAAAAAATAGGACCCACCCAAGAATAATCTTTCAATTAAAAAAGAATCTAAATGGGAGTAAAAATAGCGAAGTTACGCTGTTTTCGTTATGTTGACGAAATATGGCTTTTTTCTCTATAAGACACTATAATTTTATTTATATATATAGAAGACTAGTTGTTGCCCGCGACTCCGTCCGTATGGAATTTAAAAAAAAACTTCATAAGTATTCTATACATATAAAGCCTAAACAGCGAAGTGATCGTTGCCCATAGACATACGAAATTGCATATGCGTCGCCCACCTTCAATCGAGGAGAGGATGCACACAAAGAAAATATTTTCCCTTTCCATGCATCCTCTCATCCGGAAAGTCCACTTCCACTTCCCATCCTTTCCGTATAAGAAAAAGGGTGGGAAGGGAAAGAGGATTAAATTAGGCCTCCGGGACGCACACTCATCAGACGAAACGCGGAATTGCTTCCACTTCACGCCTGTCTTCTGTATGGTCGTGGTATATCACCGGGCGAGCCGGGACAATTCGTGCGAAGATGTTAAAGCGGGCTCTACCACTGTTAAAAAATACGTCCATCTAAACTTTCGCATTTATAATATTAGTAAGATGTATAGATAACTCTTTGTCTATAACAATGAATCGATTAGTAAAATGATTGGATATTGTCAAAATTTACCGGCAAAAAATGGCCGACAACTAATCCATATCAGCTGTCACCTTGTGTTTACTTTAATGTGGAATTTAAAATTTTTCATTTTACACCTGAATAATATTGAACAAGTACGGTAGCCACGTTTTTATATTCTAGTGATGTCTTTGAAAATTATCGATGCATCGACACGACAGACTGAAAGGTACCACACTACTTTGGTAGCTAGTAACTGAGCGGTATTCTATTACGCTAGAGTCGTTGAAGTCCTTGAAGTGAGCGTATCTTCTCAAAGGCCGACAATACATCTGCAGTTCCTTTGCGTATTGCTGATTTCCATAGTTAATGAATACCTCGGTGTTCCAGCTCTTCGTTTACATTACAACAACTTAATTACTAGCCTATGTGTTCTTCCAGACTATGTTTTGTATGTATGACAAATTTCATCGAGATATGTTCAGTCGTTCTGAAGTTACATCCAAACAAACATCTAAACATTCGCATTTATAATATTAGTAAGATTTCAACATAGGTAGAGTCAGCTTTAACACAAGGCACGTTACAAATGCGAAGCTATTCCAACTACAGTTCTCTTTCCCTTTCCACCCTCTTTCTTATAATAAGATTATAGAACTGAGAAAGATAGGGATGCGTGGAAATTCTATTTAAGAAAATAGTTTGATATCGATAAAATTGTACATCACTAAACTGCTATACGATGGAATTTACTCTGATATTATGTTTATTTAGGTCGACACTTGAGATCCACTGCGTATGCGTGATCATTCCCTTACTGTTTCTTTAGGATTTTATTATCAAAGTTTTTTTTCTAATTATAAATTCTTTATTTTTTTATAAAATTTAGCAGATTTTTTTGTAAATTTACTAATATTTCTTTTTACCATTCCAACTAAGCTGTAAGCTTGTGCTAGGATATGGTTTACGGCAATAGTCGAATGGCGGGATTCGAACTCCCGACCTCGTGATCGGAAATCCGTAACCTTAACCATTAGGCTATTGACGCTTATCGTGTTCGTATAATATTAATAAGCATAAAATTTTTGTCTAATCTTACTAATATAAATCCGAATGTTTAGATGTATGTTAGAAGATATCTCCAGAACAACTCAACAGATCTTGATGAAATTTGTCATACATATAGAACACAGTCTGGAAGAACACATAGACTACTTATTAAGTTCATTTTTTATTCCGTGCTAACGT